TTATTGTTATCTTTGTGTTATATTTTTGTCGTTATCGTTCTGTAATTTTTCTTTTTGCTGTTATCTTTGTGTTGTAATAATTCTGTTGCTGTTATCTGTCTGCTGTTGTTATCTTTCAGATGTTATTTTTGTGTTGTTACGTCTGTTACTGTTATCATTCTGTTATCTTTCTGTTGTTTTTTAGATGTAGATAGGGTAAGTAGGTGACATTATCGTGAAATATAGAATTGTAATACTAAAAACAAGTGACGATAAAAGTAATGATGATGATAATGATCATAACAACAAATTATTACTATTTAATTATAAAAATAACGATGATAATAATGTTAATGATCGCCTTACCAACAGCACCACTATGATAACAATACAAAATACACACATAAATTACAACGCTACTTCAACTGTGCACTCTCACCCACCATCAACCATCAGCAACCCTCCACTCATCCACCTTCATTCACTCCCTCCAGATCTCGCCCTAAATTAACCCTCCACTCACCCACCTTCATTCACTCCCTCCAGATCTCGCCCCTAAATTAACCCTCCACTCATCCACCTTCATCCACTCCCTCCAGGTCTCGGTCCTCCACACGGTGCCGCCCCTCCTGCAGTTCGTGGCCGCCTCTCCTGCCGTGTCGCCGCAGGACCTGTCGCACGTCCACACCGTCATGTGTGGCGCGGCGCCAGTTCCTCCCGCCGCTGCCATGGCGCTCAAGGAGAAGGTGTCGCAGCCGATTTTCTTCCAAGAGGGTGAGGAAAGGCTTTTGGCTTCGTTTCAGGGGGGGAGGGGAGGAAAGGGGGGGAAGTAGGAGGGAGAGAAGGGGTGTGAGATTGGGTGAGAGGAGAGGGAAAGACAGGGAGAAGTGGGAGGGGAACAGGGGGATATGAGAGTGGGTGAGAGAGAGAGGGAAAGAGAGGGTGAGGAGAGGCTTTGGGCTTCGTTTGAGGGGGGGGGGGAGTAGGAGGGAGAGGAGGGGTATGAGAATGGATGAGGGGAGAGGGAAAGACAGGGAGAAATGGGTGAGAGGGAGAGGGAAAGAGAGGGTGAGGAGAGGCTTTTGGCTTCGTTTGAGGGGGGGGAAGAAGGGGTAGAGGAGGGGTGTGAGAGTGGATGAGAGGGAGAGGGAAAGACAGGGAGAAGTGGGTGAGATAGAGAGGGAAAGACAGGGAGAAGTGGGAGGGGGCAGGGGATATGGGAGTGGGTGAGAGAGAGAGGGTGAGGAGGGCTTTTGGCTTCGTTTTGGCGGGGGAGAGGAGAAGCAGGAGGGAGAGGAGGGGTGGAGAGTGGGTGAGAGGGAGAGGGAAAGACAGGGAGAAGTGGGAGGGGGAAAGGAGATATGAGAGTGGATGAGAGGGAGAGAGAAAGAGAGAGTGAGGATTAGGTGAGAGTAAGAGTGACCGAGCGTGAAAGAGATATAGAGAGAGAGAGAGGAGGTGAGGTCAGAGAAAAAAAGGAAGAAGAAACGAAAAAAAGACAAGAAACACAAACCACACAAGACCTTAAACACACACACATGAAAGAAAACCGACATCGAATCCCTCAACCTTTACACCCTTCACCGGAAGCCCCTAACCCGAAACCTCTCTCCCTAACCCCCCTTAGGCTTCGGCATGACGGAAACCCTCTGCACGCACATGACTCCTAAGGGCGAAGAGAAGCTAGGTTACTGCGGGAAACTCGTCCCTCACACCAAAGCCAAGATCGTCGATTTGGAGAAGGGAACGCCCTTGCCTCCGGGAGCTGAAGGGGAGCTCTGCGTCCACTCTCCTGCTGTGAGTTTCCTCTTTGTTTTTTTTTCTTTTTTCTTCTTCTTTTCTTTCTTTCGTTTCTTTTCTTTAGGATTATCAGTTACTCTAAAATATGCCAAGAATGGATGCCAATGGAAAGGTCTATATTACGTTTTGACGTAGATGAAAAAGAGGTCTATATTAAGTCAAAATAGATGAAAAAAGAGAGGTCTATATTACGTCTAAAAATAGTTGATAAAAGAAAGGTCTACATTACGTAAACATTATAAGACAAAGGAAAGGTCTATGTTACATAAAGGAATAGATGACAAACACAAAGGAGAAATCTACAATAAGTCAAATACAAATAAAAGAAGAATCTATAACACGTAAGACATAAATGACGAAGGAGAGATATATAAAACACCAAAACCGAAATAACAAAGGAAATAGCAAACGAGAAGAAGAAGAAGAAGAAGAAAATATAAATTCATAACATTACGTGAATGTATATGTAACTCTTCTGCCTCGCCGATAAGAAACTACTGATAAGCCTATTACTCCAAGACCTCGATAAGGAGATGCCGGACGTTTCCATCATAATTACAGAGATAACATATCTCACCTCCCTTTCCCTATGTGCTTTTCACAACTCATGCCAGAGATAGCAGCTGACGTAAGGGTAGATGAAAGATATTCACCATGATTCCGCATGATAGTGAAATGGAGTACGGATAATACGAATAATGATAAAGTAGTTAATTTGATA